GGAGAGCTGGCGCTTCATGCTGTTAGGGAGCAATGCTGTGGAAAGCTTGTGAGTTTTCAGCGTGGAAATAAGCAAACAAATGCAACAATGAATAAGCAAATAGACAGATAACACTGCCCAATCTCGATTACTTATCACTATCCTCTATCAGAACATGTGGATGTAGATTTTGCCTTGTAGTGGGGGGCTTCTCATTTCGCAGAAGAGCAGTCAGTGTTCCTACCACTGCTTTAATCAGTGTCCCGCATGCACCGGCCGACACTTGCAGTTAAAGGTTGGAGGATGATATGATGGTCAGTGATGTACAGTAAGTAAATAAATATGCAGGTGCTTTCTGCTAAGACAAACTGATCTAACAGCCACAGTTTCCTTTAAAAGGTAATTTCAGCCGATGCCAGATCTAAGAAGTCTGGGATACTGTGCCAGGTTACGATAATACAAGAATGTAAAATTGCTGCTTGACACACATGCTCAGACATCTGAGATCCTTGTTTTAAAGAGAGAGAGAGAGAGAAAAAATTGCATTTGTCAGACAAACAACGGTGTCAGAGGACAACATCACAGGAAAGTCAACAGTTGCAATGATAGTCAAAACCTTTGTTTTTTGCCTCCCTGCTGTTTCCTCCCTGTCATGACTCTGATGGAGGAAGAGGAACAAACAAACCAAAAGAAAAAGGAAATAAACAAACCTAAATCTAATTTAGCTAAAAAAATGACACTGTTATATTTACTGAAAGAGAATATAGATATTATAAGCTTTTGAAACACAAGCTGACTGAAAATAGAGGAAAAGCTACACATGGCAGCACAGGTTCTCTACAAGTTTATACCTACTGTGGCTGCATGTGAACCACATGTGAAGTCCAAAGACTACATACAGAGGAAAAATTGGATTTGGAGAGGATCACCGTAGGACTGAGGGAGGGACTAAAAGTGTGCATATCATTTCTTCCTCCGTGGGATTCGCTGCGAGGCAGGTACAGCATCTCTGCAGTCCACCGCTCAGCTGTCACACTCAGCTGTCCAGCGCTCACAGGAAACTTTTAAACACCGCAGTCGGTAAGTGCAAAGTTGTTGTTTTTTTCTTCTTCTTTTCTTTCTGCATCTTCTTACAGGTCAGTGGTAGAATAAGAAGACGCTGTTATTATCTGCGCTCGTCGCTCCTTTGATCCACGAGAGGGAAAGTGTTGGCTTTAAAGTTTTAGTTTTTTCCCGTCAGGAATTCTTCCGAATGCGTGACGCGTTGTTTCCGACCTGTTCCACCTTTACTTATTTTGCGCATAAAAAGTTGCCTTCACGTTTTTTTGTTTTATTTTATTTTCTCTGAACAAGAGAAACTTCAGGATTGCTAATTGCCTTCAATTAACGGGCTTTAAACTGACTTCTAACAGAGCTCCGAAATGTAGCTTCATATATAAATAGCATCTCTTCATATGACTAAATGTGGAGTTAGACCTATAGGAATGTTTTATCTAGCAGTGATTTATTGATTTTTTTTTATTGATTTTTTGCCTTTTTCTCAATAAATCAGAGAGACTTGAACGGCTAAAAGTAAGGCATGCGTTTGATTGACAGAAGTAATTATTCTCTTTGTGCTATTTTTTTCTTTCTACGGGAATAAAAGCATTTGAATCTTTTTTTAAATTTATTTATTTATTTATTTTTGATATGCCGAACATCTGCAAGCATTGAGCGGCTGCACATCTTTCTGTCAGCAGCTGCCACAGACTAGAAATGCCAAATTGCTTAACATATGAATGTGACGAAGATGAGACCTGTATGAAACACAACACTGCCCATATCACAACCCACCTCTAATGCAGTCCTTCAGTTCACTTTTCAGTCTCTTTTGTTGGTGCTGCTTTGAGTAAACAATGTTAAGTGATAAGCAGAAGCGTGGAGGAGGGCGGCAAGGAGAGGAGGAGGAGGAGGAGGAAGGAGGGTGAAGGAGAAGAGGAGGAAGAAGCGAGGTAGATGAAAGGAGGAGGCAGACTGGTGTAATGGGAGGGAGGAAGACAGTGGAAGAAGTGGTGGAAATGTTCCTTAGTGGATGGATTTACATCAGCTGAAATCCATTTTTGTTGAGAACATACCAAGATTTTCTTAAAAAATAACATCCTGTCAGACTTAAACCATGAAGTAGTGCAATGTGAGATGTTGATTGATTGACTACGTGTCAATAGAAATAAAGTAACGCAAATATATATTGTCAATCAAAAACAAATGTAAAAAATGGCATGAAAACAGGATGTTGTATTTTTAAAAAAAACAGCTCAAATTTCTATTTCCCTGTATTATCTTGTCTCCTTCTTGACCCCCTTCCCTCTCCCAGCTTTTCCTCTCTCACACACCTATGCATACATGCACATATACCACGGACCTGCACACACAAAGTGTAAACAGCGTGTGACGGATAGGCTGCCTCTCTCTGCCTGCACTGTTTGTACGTTGATCCCTTCAGCAGGCCCTGCTTCTCCTGTCCATAGTGTCCGTGATGAGTTACTACATGGATCCAGTTTCTTCCTACCCAGCCCTTCACCCCTGTGACCGTCTGGGCACACTGGTAAGACCTCCCTCGTAAATTATCTCTGTGTTAAGACTGCCTCGGCTACCTACCACACAGCCGTCCACAAGTGTGAGCGAATGAGCGTTTGTGTGTGTGTGTGTGTGTGCAAACTGCTCAGTGCAGGAATGTGTGCAGGAGCATTAGAGTGGTGTTCTTGTCAGCGTATTAGCAACTCTGGATTCCATCACCTTACAGGAGGATACTCTATTTCTTTTTCAGTTCACTCCACCAGGGTTTGCAGTAAAAGCGCCTGTATCTGTACATGCTGTTCCTCATGATTTCATCAAAAGTTAGGAAACAGAGCTGTTGAACAAGACAATTCTCTACACGGCTGTGAAATTGCCCTTTCGAGCTCCTCTGTGTTGCACAACAAGCCTGCACCGTGTACTTCTCTTTAGCAAGTAATATTGTAAATAATGAGACCTAGGCCTCCAGCCTTGGCACTAACCAATCAAACTGGAGTCAGGCAACCCCAGCAGACCAGCACTTTTCTCAGCTGAGCCACCCGCACTGTGCTTTGCAGCAGTGTGTTTGCAAGAACCCATAACACTTTCCAAATGGTAGTGCTGAATACAAAGTCAGAGACAGTTGCTGGGAACATTGGGATTCCTGTCAGGTGAGCATTTGAAGGGTGAAGGCCAGTGTGCTGCAAAATAAATGGCTCCATTTGTATGCAGAGCGCCAGCACATTAGGATAATAGACTGAGGTTACATGCAAATGGCAACCCCACCCCGTTCTAATACAAAACACAGAATGATGCCTCTCCCTGTTTCCTAATTGGCTCAGGTGGTGGGGCTTGCCTTTGAAATTGAGACTACTGTATACAAGGGCAGCTTGGTCAAAAGGTGAGCCCATGTCACCTCGGTAGCTTTATTCTCTTGAATTTACATAAATTATCAGCAAAAAGCAAAGGCTCTGATATTTTTTTCTCTCTTTAAGACAATATCTAAGTTCTATGTATTTCACAAAGGCAGTATTCAGAAAACAGCTGCAAAAAGAAAAAGAAAAACTCAAAGAATAACACAGCTTGTTGAAAATGAAATTGATACAAATGCAAATAGTTTCATTTGTAACCTTACCTTTTGTAATGCATTGAATTAATCCTTTTCTTTACATATCTTTTTCACACAAATATAGAACACAATGAAAGAACCCCTGACATGAAGGATGGAGTGAACAGCAGCAGGTTGCAGGGGCTGTGCCCAGAATCACTCATTACCTCCACAATATATGAAGAAAACTCATTGTTTTACTCAAAAATGAGTTGCAAATTTAGATTTTGGATCTAAATTTGCAACTCACTTTTGTTGCACTCCAAGTTGTTTGCGTGGACATATGGATGTATGATTTCAGACATGGCTATTTTTGGAACTTTACATTTTGTCTTTGCAGAAAAGCAACAGTGCAAAAAATTATATCCTGTTAACGACACATCATTTGTATTAAGTATATTAATAACCCTTATAGACCACATTTCAAGTAACACAAAGGTATGTTTAATTAAATCTGCCTGGTTTGCTAGCAATAGACAAGGGCTTTCCTCTTAAAACCACTCGGTGGTAATTGAGTATGTGTTTGTGCGCATATGTTTGATTGTGACACAAATGTAGCGTCTTGTAACAGTGGGCGTTTCAGTTGTTTTTACATGTGCACTGTAAGATTTCTTCACCATATTGCAAAATATGTTGCAATATTCTAAAGTTATGCCTTTCTGTACATGGAATGGTCTAACTGGATTACTGGAGTGAGGCCAAACACAAAAATACATCTAACTGCGTCACATGCATGCTACATAAGAATGCTGAAGTCCTATACACCAAAGACTATTCAGTTGTGCAACAACAGTAAGCATGTCATGCTCTCACTGATTAATAGGTATAATGTTTTGAAAAAAAATGTAATTTTCACACATTCCACTACACATAAACTCAATGTGCTTCACATAGATTATTAAAACAAACAGGATGCTGCTAATACTCATACTCAAAAATGGTGAGCATTGCAAGCCCCACATCCAAAATATATGAATTTTCATTTACAGTAGTCGACAGTAGTCGTCCCCCTGAGAAATTACTTGACCCCAAACTTCTATTAGATTTCCCAATACTTTAGTCCCTAAAATAACAGGTAGGCCATATAAAAGCATGCATTATAAAGGCAGGCTCCTCCAATATAGGCTGACCCCGGCATTTAAAGTTGTTCTACATGAGCTGAATGAGCTGAATATTATGGTGTCGATGGTATCTGCATTGGTATCTGCGACAGCCTGTCTCCATAAATCCTCCATGTGGCTCCCTTCTTCCCTATCTAACTTTCCCTCCTTTGCTGACTGACTTGATAGAAAATGCAAATCTCTCAAGAACCTTGTAAACTGGCCTCCTCGATTCTTTGGTCATGTTAGTCATCCATAAAACTAGATAGCTACTGATAAATGGTGCAGTGCTTAAACAGGAGCTGCTTATCAGATTGCCAGTCACTCTGTCTGCTGGGGCTGTCACTTACACATGTGACATAAATCATAGGATGCTGTAGTTATATCCAATTATATATCCAGTTATATAAGCCGTCATGTGCCTGTGAGAAAAACGCCAGTTTTAAAGAATGCTACTTCCTGATGTTTTTCATGAGTGGTCAAAGTTAGATTTTGATTTACTAAAAATGGCTATCTTCTTCGACACTGTCTCTTGTTTCCTCAAATAATTTTATATCTCTTTAGCCCTGCTGCCAAGTGCTGACTTTAGACTTCCCCCCCAGTGCAGCCTCTTACGTGAACAGTTCTGCGATAAGCAGGATAAAACAACAGAGCAAAGATAAACTGAATGAGTCAAATTTAGCTGCAGGGGTTATCTGTATGTGAGTACAATGAAAAAATGTTTCCAAAATACAAGGTTACACTCTGGGACAAAGCCACCGGACAGCTATATTGATAAGCTCATACGTTAACATTTTTCATTGGTTAACAAATTTAGCTGCATAATTATTCAATGGAAAGGCACACTACCCAACAGGCTTTTCCTCTTGTTCCTCAAGGGTTCAAGTGATTTTGGGTGATTTTAAACCCTGACCATATCTTTTATTCTAACACTCACACACTACAGAAGTTTTAAAAGTAGCATTTTCCACTTACATCCTCATTAGCTCTGCTATCTGAGCTCACTATAATCAAAATCCCAATTAGGAAGACTGTATAACTTAATGTTAGAGGCATAAACTAAGTCCATACCACATTTTGTGTTGCTAAGTGATTTACTTAATGTTTATCAAATAAAAAGTCCCCATCCCTCGTTTGTGAAGTTTGGGTGATTTTTAAAAAGATTTCTTTTAAGAAAGAATGTGCAGTTGCATGCAGAGAATGCATGCAACTGCACATTCTGTTTGTCATCTTGTGGATAAATGATTACAAATTAAATTTTGTCTCCATTGTTCATTTTGTCTCCAGAGGCAGAGTGGAGGTGTGGCAATGGGCCCACAGACCCAGCACCCAGGTGTGGTTCACCCTCATCAGCAGTATTACCCATCACAGCCCCTTTACCCTCACGATATACCCCTGCAGGAGGTTCCGGACGGACGTGAAATGTGCCCTACAGGTAAGAAATCATCAGTCTGATGTCAAATGTATGTAGTATTTATGAACTGATTCTCAACCAGGACCCATAATTTAACATTTTTTAATTGTGATAGCGTTTTGATCAAGGTAACCTTTTACAAAACGATTTTAATGTTCCTAATAGACCCTTAGTTGCTTGATAGAAACATTGTCATAGCTTGTATGAAACCACAAGATGCAGAAGTGGTAATCTGTAAGAAAATAGAGATTACAATTTGCCTACTTTTTATTCCTTCTTGTATGTGATTCGGCACTACAACAACAAAGAGCAACCAAAAGAGTTTGTATGCTAAATGGATTCATCTCTTCGATCATGGCACACCAAATCTTGCTCATTTTGTTGTTATAACACAATAAAGCTATTTTAACACATGTATTGTCACCATGAATGTCAAACCCCGATGCCTGTTTCAGTCAGAGCTGACAGCCTTTAACTTATCATCTTCCAGGTACAGAATAGTGAAGGTAATTGTCTGGAAAATTCACACCAAGCTGAGTGGACATCTTGTGCTTAGCTGCCTGCATAGGCTCTATGAAGGAGGCATCAATGCTTAAATAAAACTGAGTATTTCCAGTTATGTGAAAAAAGTCCCTGCTGTATGCTAGATGGGAAAAGGGGGAGTTCAGGAGAAGGGTCTAACCTGATTGTCATCTTCCCTAACCCGCAACCTAACCTTAAACCAAGCTTTCAAAAGTAAAATGTGATGATTTACACTGTGGACATGCGTTGCTCCTATTAATAGAGACCCCAAAGTGGAGCAGATTTATGTTTCCACAACTTCAGTATTGCACACATTTAAGGACATACACACACACACATGCACGCGTGCAGAGTCTCAACTTGGCCTGTTGTTCTGCGTCTGCTGCACGGGGGATGTTGGTGATGCTGACCCTGAGGGCAATGCCTTTACCAGATACCCTCATACCCCCCTCTCTTACGTTCTCTATCTTCCTCCCACTCTGTTTCTGGGGGCAAATGCTCTTCATTTTTCTTCTAACAGCCCTCTCTTTCTAGGTTTTTTTTTTTTCGTTCATTGTTTTTCAAATTAGTTTTATTTTAAACTGGAACATTCCTCCCAGTGCATTTGCCTGCGTTTGACTCTGGCCTCTTCTACTTCTCAAAAGTGATTGATGCTGTTGGACTGGGACACACGCCACGGGAGTAAGATAGGGGTGCTGGGGGGCACAGGCTTTCTTCCGTCACCTCCCTGAGCTGGATGCAGGGGCAAGACAGGGGGCCAAAGGGCGGCCATCTTTTTCCCAAGCCTCTGGTTTGGTCTCTGGAGAGGTGGAGGGGGGCTAAGTGCTTGTGTGTGTGTGTGTGTGTGTGTGTGTGTGTGTGTGTGAGAGAGAGAGAGAGAGAGAGAGAGAGAGAGAGAGTATGTGTGTGTGTTTGTACGTGTGTGTGTGTGCATATGCTTGCATACGCCAGTACAAGAGGGAGTCAGGATTTGATGGGATTTGCTGATGTTTGTTACAGAGACACACTCTTTTGGAGCACTCACTTCATTCCTCCCAGCGCTAAACCATTGACATAAACATTGCTAAGTGGAAAAAAATGACCGAGTGCTGACCTTCTTTTTTTTTTTCTTTTCTCGTTCTCGTCTCCAAAATCCATGGAGACCGCAGGTCTCAGAGCATTTGAGCCACCTGGAGATGCGGTTAGAGTCATTTAGCTCTTAACAGCAATGTCATAAGAACTGCTTTGGTTTCTGTCCTACCACCATACGCTGTTATGAGTTGCCGTTAACCTCAAAAAGCTGCTCAATAATCTCTGACACAGTCTCCACACCCCGAGCCGTTGATTTGACTCATTTCTTTCAAACTGAAAAAAAACAAAGAGAAACTTCTTTTAATAATTTCACATTTGCAAATTCTGAATACCCGCAAACGATTTGTGTAGACTTAGAAATACAGGTGCAAACAATTTTAAGTTTCTGGTGCTGTGCAAGCAGAGCTTTGGAGATTTCTCGTATTTGAACGCATACTTGTTCTTTTTCAGACCACTGAGGTTTTGCCAGTTTTAAATTCTGTTATTTTTTCACATCTGTAAACCCCCCTCTTTATGTACAGTATATTCATGTAACAAATCCATTGGCGCTATAAATATAAACACAAACATGTCATGTCTGTCATGGATATTTGGGATGAAATATTTTGTGTGTCTTTTAAGGTGGTTAGAGCCTGATTTTGCAACTGAAGTCACTATTTTTCCCCTTGTGAATGGACTGGGTGTGTTTAAAATGAAACGTGTTACTGTGAGAAAGAAAAGATACAGAGCAGATGTGAGGCAGGGATTTTGGATGTTACATGCTTGGCCCTGAGCCCAATGTCACACACACTGCTTCCTGACAACAGCCATGACATGGTAATGTTTACACTAACCCAGCTTTACTCTATACTCTCCAACACTCACACCAAAGGATCTGTTGCAAACGCCCACTGAGGAAATTCACTTTATGTGCATGTGTGAGTTAAGTGTGTGTGTGTGTGTGTGTGTGTGTGTGTGTGTGTGTGTGTGTGTGTGTGTGTGTGTGTGTGCTAATAAAAGAGTGAGGGTGCATTTCTGCACAATCTCACCAAAATCCAGGCACAGAAATCACACACATGCAAACACGCTCCACCAACATCCTGGAGTGATACACACTCGCGTATTCATTCATTAAATTCACACCCTGCACTCTTGTGTGTATTGTATTACAGCATCCTTCCATTCAGTGAAACAGGCACACACACACACATACAGGGAGGCGCACACACACATACATTCACTCCCAGGCTCTCCTGAGTTCACTGTACATTTAAACATGCACTCCCATTTAGTACACGCAGACACAGCTGTGATCTGGCACTCAGAGACCATTGGCCTGTGTTTTATATGATGTGATTTGACAGCTGGACAGTTGCAAGAGGAGGGGAATTGGGGGTGGGGGGTGGGGGGGGTGGAGTACAATTTTAGGAGAGAATATGGATAGGGAAAAAGAGAAGTCACAGAAGTGGGACTGCAGTGGTGGGAGGAGAAGAGATGAGGGGAGGAGGATCTAAGATGTGGGGCCTTGAGTGGAGTTGGGGGGGGGGGTTCGCCTCTGATGAGGGGCACGTCCTCACGGGCGAAGGCCCATTTTTTATTTTCTAAAAGTAAACAGGCAGCCTGCGGGGGTCTGGAGGGTTATGGGAAAGGAGGAAACATTGATACTAATCAGGCCAGCGCACACTTCCCCCTCTAACAATAAAACAAAACAAGAGTGGAAACACGGAAAAGCGGCAGACAACTGCGGGGGAATGGGCTACACAACTGTGCACATTTGAAGCGCATGGCATGGTGATAGAGCTAAAGCAAGAAATGCAAGTCAATAAAAATAGTGAAGAGTTCATCTGCTTCTACTACACTGCACATTTGTAGTTTTATTTTTAGATGTCTGAACCGTTTGAATGAGTTTCCACATTAGGCTTCTGAGACACGGTTTACAATAGAGCCACTCTGGAATCTCTATCCCATAATTCAAAGTTCTGCTTTGGTTAACTGAAATCTTGAAATTGTTTTTTTGCTTCTTCTCCTTTGATGAGCCATTTTCTCCAATGCTTTTTTAAAATATCACTTGAGATCGTCAGAAATGCATTTTTCCCCTTTTCACCTACAGCTTTTGGCATTGTACCCTGATTGAAAAATGATTGCTTTCTTCTCTGTTAGTGTTGTAATTTTATTTATTTATTCTCTTTTTGGAAACGCTCTGCTTTTAAGTACCAATCATTTTTTAAACTTCCCTTTCCCAGAGTTCTACAGGCCATATTTCTAGGAAGTGTTCGTGTGGTAAGTTCCTCTTGATAGCGCAGTGACTAATTACAAACCACTTCAGTAGGAGAACATGCAGTTCTGAAAGACATGCAATCACTGACGGGGGTGATGATGCAACAGATGCCAGCTCACCAGGAAAGGTGGTGCTTTAATGAATCCTGTGATAGACCTCCCATTGTTTTAATGTTTATGTCGTGAGCATAGCAATATGCAGAGCTTTTAATAACAATGAGCGTACTTTACCAGTAGCGGTAAAAGTGAATTCCTCTAACTGTGTCCCGTAATTTGCGTTGGTTGTTGAGTCAAGTCCTCTTTGTAATAGTTAATGGTCAGTTGCTCACTTTAGCATTTTAATATAAACTGAATTTATACAACAATTAACCAAAGGAAAAAAAAAAGAATCCAACAACTGCTTGTTTCTTAACTGAGTGGATCATTCCTTTGGGCGTTGCTATTTACTATGATACACAACCTTCATTGTGTACATAGAGTAACACTGATGTATGATCCCTTTAGCTGTGAGGACTAGCAGACTGCGAGACTGTGCTAATAATGGAGAGGAGGGAGGGAGGGAGAAGAACGCAAGACAAGTAAAGGGAGGTCTGGGAGGCAAAGAGACGCGGAGGGGGGTGGGGATAATTGAATTATCTGCACAATGGAGTGATGGGGGGCACGTGGTGCCGCTAATGGAGGAAGAGATGTCCTTTTTAGCGGAGCTAATTGTTCAGAAAAGAGCTGAGCCTTTGTTCAGGGAGGCCCTGCTACTTTCCCAGTGCACTTTACATCCACACAATTTAGCGGCGTGTGCGCACACACATACACACAAAAACACATGCACGCGCACAAACACATTCGGGAAGAAAAAGATTTTGGAATGCGAGGCATAAGAAAGAGATGTGCACAAGCACAGTAGACATCTATGAGCAGAGACAGACTCACACATACAGGGACACAGCACTCCTGTCCCAGCTAACCCTCTGATCTCAGCAGGAGTGCATCCAGCCTGTGGCACCTTCAGACAGCATCCACCACAGATAGAGCTGAGACTGAGCTGTTAGACAGAAGCCACAAGGACCCCACTGTTTTACTGTTTGACTGTCTGCCCTGTGTGTGTGTGTGCGTGTCCCATATGTGTGTGTGTGTGTGCTTGAGTGGCTGTAAATAAATGACTGACTGATTACATG